GGCTCCAAACCAACCCAGAAAGCAGAAACACACTTTTGATTTAGTCTAATAATGTAATACTGTAAAAATTCAAGTCAGCATTTGTTCTGCACCTAGGATTAGAAGTTCAGTGCTAGGTTCATATCCTAATGATTCTTCAATTAGAACAATTACTTCTAAACCTACATTTATTTTTATATTTTTCAGGTTTCAAAAATTAGCTGTTGTATCTTTGCAAGTTACAAAACAGGCAAAAGTTAGGTTTAAAGAAAAGCTTATGTCTAGTTAAAAGGGTGTTTGGAGACTCTCTTCTACAGTTACAAGCTTCAGAAATTTTTATTTAAATACATACAGGCTCTTTACCTCAGAGGCTTTCAGAAAAAGTAGCATACATCTCAATTGTCATGAAACCTGTCATAAAACCATGAGTTTATTGAAATTAATGTTCTTTTGTAAGGTTTCCTCTCAGATTCAAATGGAGAAGTGTAGAGCTGATAATATCAGAGTGTTCATTTTCTAAACTATTTGGGCAGTCTGCAATGAGTATTTGAGTTTGATCGTTGCATGTACTCTCTGCATAGTGAGAAAATCATCCTAGAAAGCAATTAGAAGGGAAATAACTTTTAGGTTACTAATGTGTTAAAAAAAAATCAACTTTGGGAATTGAATAAAAATGTATCTACTCTTTTGGGTAAGATTTTGGGTCCTCCTTTTTCTATCAATAGCCAAACCAAAAGCTTGAGTTACACAATGTACCTCTAGAACCTCAGCTCATTCCGACATGCTGTATTATTTATATATCAGTTGAATTTCTTCTTTCAGGTTGTCATTTGCTGTCAAGCAAAGTATTGCGCTATTTGGTGCAAGAAGAACCGTGCAATATAATTTGTGGGGCTTTCTAGAATTAAAAAGTATGCTAAATAAAATGTAACATTTGTGAAATACTTTATTTGGCATTGTTACCTTTCTCCCTGTACCCTCTGGTGGAAGAAGTGATAAATGGTTCTTTCAGCATCTTGTTGAAAGGATGTTTCTTAAAATGATTTGATAAAGGTATGTAAATGAGAAAGGTGCACTTAGCAGGCAAGTCCCTCTCATTGAGCATAACATAAGAGATCTTATTTCATCTGTCAGGCCTTAAAAAAGACCTAAATGTTACTAGAGTGGAGATATCTCACAATTTTGTTTTGAGTTTTGCTATATACTTCTGTCTGTTTGGTGGGAAGGAGATGGGTTCTTAATAAACACTCTGAAGTCATTCAGAAAAAAATCAAAGGTGTAAGGAAAAGATGCAGGAAAAAAGAAAATAGTATCATCTCCTCTCCAAATCCAGAGTTTATTCTGAGATGTTTTCAGCTTGGTCTCACCTTAGTTCCTCTATGTACATGGTTACATAACTTAAAAGTGTAAGTCCCATAAAAGAAATGAATATGAAGTGGTTAATGAGTTCTGTCAGTATCTTGGGAGAAGTGTGTGAGCATGTACATCTCAGTCTATGGCCCTCTGTTAGTTCAGCCCAAATCGTAGTAGTTTCAAGCAATGAGATTTTACTGTCTGAGATTTTCTTGAGGATGGAATGGGGGCAGCACCAGCTGTAGTACATGTTTTAAGGTGTTGTGATATACCTTAATGCTTGAGTAACCTGATAGTGAAATGTACAAGGGGTAGTCAGGATATCGAAAATAAAAGCATGAATTATTGATTTTTTTGACACTTGTATTCTTTATTGGGCCACTTCCAGAACATTTCAATAAACCTGTACTGGTAATTGTCACTTGATGTTTTTTTCCAATAATTAAGTTCTTAGTGTTTGCTTACTTCATGGAAATTTGTCAGAACAAAAATTTGTCTGTTGCAAATGGCATATTACCAATCACTATGATATGTTACGGATACCAAGCACATTTCTGTAAGAGTTAGTCAAATAGAGTCCTTTCCTTGAGGTCTATTTTATTCTTCTATTTGCTCTGACTCAAAGGTTAAGTTCTAAAACTCCTGCTGCAGCATAGTACTACAATGGTAACAAATCCCATAACCTGTTACGTTAAAATAAAGTGCACCCGTATAAGCTGTTTAGAGCAGAGCCTCTAAAATCAAATTCTGTGCATCAAACTGAGTAGAATATATAACAAATTAGACTTCACTATTTCAGCATGAATGGGCTCTCAAGAGGCGCAAATGTAAATTGAGAGGCGTATTGTTGATTCAAAGGTGACATTTATTTTTGTTCTGCACAATTTCACAGGCACTAAGTCATGAGTGTGCTAACATTTTAAGTGAGTTTTACTAATTTCAGTATGCAAATTTGAACAAACTCTATATGTAGCCTTTAGTAGAGTTATTGCTCGCTTTGTCTGTATGCTTGCTCATTTCTCTGCCTTGTATTTGATGTCATCCTGAAGTCTTATTTTAACCATTCCTCTACAAAGCACTACACCACACTTTCAGCTTTAGTCCTCTTCTGTGTTTTGTGAATTAGCCTAGGTAATCTTGGGAAACAGCTTCTTGTCTTTTTTATTGTTTTTAGTCTTTGTATCGTTTCTGACACGTTGTAGGTTCCCTCCAATAACTGAGATATTTTAAAGCCTACTGCTAATTAATTTGCAAGAGCAATAAAAATGTGACACATGTATATTGACCCAAGTATATCTGAATTAACCTTGGCATAGTCTAGACGATCTTTTAAAACAGTAATATAAAATATAGGAGTGTTTCCCTTTGTAATTTTACCTATGATATAAATTAGAAAGCTTTATGTATTTTCCTTAAAGATATTTTGTCAGGAATTGATGTGCTCAAAAACTGAGCCAGTCTAGAAGCTGAACGAGTCTTATTAATTCCTTGTGAGTGTGGATGTTAGATGTTTTAGTGTACTTGCTGGTGTTTCCAGGCTTCTTGATGAGGACAGGACATGTCACATTATCCCGTCCTGCCCATGATGTTTGTGCTCTCTTATGCCTACATTATATTACCTCAGTGAAGAAATGGGCAAAGTAAAAGGAAACACAAACAGCAAATATAGACAGTAATAATATAATCTCTGTATGAAATGGATGAGAACAGTGGAATCCAGCAGTATTTTGTTCATAACTATTTGTTGTTTGTAAAGAGATAGGTCATGCTTTTTTGTTTTATTTATATTTGTTTTTATTTGTGTTTTTTTTTTCCAAATGAAACTACTTCAAAATTATTCTGGCCTCAGTCAGAATTTATTCCCAAAGCATTTTGAGATGTCTTGCTACTGATTATGTTCTCTTTTAGATAGTCACGTTTTCTGCATGTGTATTGTATTTGTTATACTTCCGTGATGATAAAAATTATGCAATGGTGACTGACAGAATTTGGGCCAAGGTAGTTGGGTCAAAAGAACAGTTAGTGCAGTGATTTCCTGGACACGGAAGTAAATGACTATTGTTAGCAGACAGCAGCTGTTGTATTGGTCCCAAACTGTAGCGTGGGTCGCTTCACTTTAGAGTAAAGAAGCCAAGATGATTTTTCAGACAAATGAAAACCACACAGTGAAGTATACGTGCTTTGGTCACAGTGGGAGACTTCAAATAAGAAAAATGAGAGCTTCATTCTGCTTGTCAGTCAATAAGAAACTTAGAAATGGAAGTAGTAGTTTAACTACCTGCCTTTCTTTTTGGTTCTTGTCTTGCATAATTGAAATTGAAAGAACCACTGACTCAGGAAGCACGTAATAAAAATGTCCTCTCTTGTTTTACTCAATCCAAGTGGATTAACATAACAAGTGTTCCTCCTCCAGATGAATTATTAATGCTATGGGGAATACTTTTTTTCTGAAGCATGTGCTATGTAAGACTAGTTTATACGGTCCTTTCACAAACAAATGCCTAAGCTTCCTGAAGCCAAGGACAAGTCTCCTTTGTTACCCAAATAATTCAGTGAGCACTTAAGAAAAACATTTAACTAGCTTCGATTCAAGTAGAAGACTAATGATTTCTTGTATAGCAGGAGGGGTCACTGATTTTATTAAATAGCTGCACATTGCCTTCAGTTGTTCTACCTTCAAGATAAACTATTAATATCAAATAGATGACACATGATAATCTCTCCCACATAAAGGTAATTTAAAACTGGTAGATTCACTCCCTCTCCCTCCTCGCCCTCCCCCCCCAAAAAAAAATAAATCAAAAAATGTATTTTTTAAATCTTTTAAATTTCTTACTTGATATTAGATTTGGTTTCTCATATGAGATATTGATCTCAGGTCTGTATGTCAGAAAGATATTGAAAACACTTTGAATTCCGCCACCATTGCTATAGTGCTGACAAAAAGCAGTGAACTTTCTGTAACTCTTTCTGCATTTAAATTTAGCAACTTCTTAATAGAAAAAATAGTATCGTACTTATTATTTCGTAAAAATTACCTATCCAGTGGAAAGGCATGCTGTTGGCCTAGATGCCATACTTTATATTCAGCAGAAATATAGCCGTGTGCTAATACCTGATCTGAATCTAATTTGTAAAGCTGATTGATTTTAGAGTGTAGAAATCTGGAACAGATAATGATGTAACCACAGCCACTATTTTTGGCTTATCCCATGGCTATAAGTTAATAGCTAGTAGTCAGCTGGTGAAGAACATGCTAAAGAAATGTAGATTACTTAACGTTAACCTAGGATTAAATCTAGATTTCTTCAGCAGGTTCTTTACCAGCAATCAATCGGCAGTACAATATATATTCTGTTCTGAATATAGATTCTAAATCATTTAAATATAGGAAGTGTGTGTGAGTGTGGAATATTTTTTGTTAAATTTTAGGATTTCAGTGTTGCAAGAGAATACATTTTATGGAGAAGAAAGCAAGAGAAAATTATGAAATGTGTCCTATTAAATAAGCATGAAGTGGAACTAGCTGAGAGGTATTCAAAGGAATTAGTTTGTCACTGCTTTCTGTTCTCAGTTATCAGTAATCTACAATACTTCAGAGTTTATGCATAACTTTTTGGAGAGTATTACACAAGAAGCTGAGAATCTTTTTTTCCTTTAATCCACAGGAGATGTGTGTGACTCTAACCCATGTGAAAATGGTGGCATCTGTCTGTCCAGATTAAATGATGATTTCTATTCATGCGAGTGTCCTCAAGGCTTCACAGACCCTAACTGTTCTAGAGCTGTGGAGGTTGGTAAGTGCAAACTTTAAACATTGGAATAACTATTTCAATATCCCATTAGTTGTGGCTGGTGATTGTCTGCTGAGTTTTGTGTAGTCATTGATGCATTTTTATTGGTGCCTTATCCTTATTTCTACATCATAGAAATCAATGTCATTACTAGAATACAGTTCAAACAATATCTCAGAAGTGCATCTGTAAATAAAAATCCCCTACAAAGGTTCAGTGCTCCACTGGGAAAACAAACAAACAAACAAACAAACAAAAAAAAACTACATTGTAGTTGTGACTGAACATAACCAATGTTCTTCAGAAATCATGGTTAAAATTCTTCTGAATATTCTTTAGCTGATTTCAAGGACTTAATCTCATTTCAAGCTTGGTTTCCGTTAGTTTTATGCGTAGCTTGAGACAGTAATTAGTTAATGAAGCTAAGTTAGAAAAGCAGTATGTGCTAAATCATAATAAGGTATTATAGTTATTTAAAGAAAAAAAAAACTTTGGAATACTTACCAGCTGGGGGCTGTAATTGATCATTAAATGACAACATAGACTGCAAGTCAAATGTGTTGAGATTTTGTAATGTGTGTATGCCTCAGAGTCACTGTGAACAGGAATGATAACTGCAAAACATGCAGCAGTTGAGAGTTCTCCTATGGAAAACTCTTAAGGAGAAAGTGCAGAGGGGAAGATGGCAGAGAGCTTATTACGTCATGGGCCATCCCAATAGCTTTAGTGAAACAGAAGAGCTGCAAGCTGCTCAAGCTTATAATTTTTCTCTGAAGTGGGTACAAAAGTATATATGATAGAATCAAATAATAAAAAGCAGATGCTACTGTTTAAATATCTACAGCTCCTGTAGATCTCTTTCTGGTAGTCATGGCTATTGCAATTGGAAGATAAAAGGTAAAAGAGAAGGCAGTGTCTGTCTTGTTTGTGCTAGGAAAACAAGCGGTAGCTGTTGTGACTCTGCGCAGTCTCTGTTATCTGAAAGCCTTCCTTGCCTGTGTGCCTTTCTTTTGCTGGGAAACAAAGTATTTGATAGTAGTAGCCTTTCAGGTATTTCTTATCTTATAACCATGTTTGTAATTCGTCGATCAAAAATAGTACTCTAATTTCTCCTATGAAAATGATAACAAATAATGGTAAGCAAAGTAATTATGAATCAGACTCAGCTGATTTAAACTCTGGAGTGTTTCAGTTAGAATAGTTGTTGAAAGGTGGGTCTGGTAGGAGCCAAGCAAAGTACTGCAGAAGTCTGTGTGATCAATTTTATTGAGACTGCTTTTTAGAGAATATAGGATTGGAGAGGCAATACTAACAAACATGACTTCCTTTTGGCTTTTTAATGAATTATTGCCAAAAAGTTATTTCTCTTACCCTGTAAAAACTCAAACCATTCTTTTTTGTTTGTTTGTTTCACAATTTTTTTGTATGGGCATTTAGGAAATTAGGAGACATAGAATAAAAAGAAATTTGGGGGGGAGGGGGCGGGGAAGAGAGAGGGATCTGTCATTTGTTCCCTTTTCCTGTTAGTGCTGTTCAGCACATGTGGAAAGCAGGTGGGTGTTCTGTAGAGCCCTCTCATTAGACACCATTAGACATTATTCACTGATGGTGACAGTGAATTGATTATTGATCTCCAGACCTTAGCTGTGAAACCACAAATTTTCAAGATATACACGTCAGACAAGACGAGTTCACAGTAACATGTAACAGGGTTTTTACGTACTGAATCATGGATTCAAATGAGTGAATTAAAAATGAAATGCAGATGTTTTAAATTAGTATAAAGGAAGAAAGATGCATAAAAATACATGAAATTAGGAAAATTAAATCTCTTACCCAATTTTAGCAATCAAGCTTCAAGACAGTTTGGGTGTTGTATTCAAGGTTATGCCCTTGTGTTCAAGGGCATAGGAATGTAATGGGAGTTATAATTTTTATTAGCTTAATAAAGGCAATACATAAAGTAATCTGACACGATCTGACATTTAATTTCAGGCTAATTCTTATTGGTACTTTTTTTCCAAATGTTATTCATGGAAGGTCCTAACTTCTCTGTCATATAGCTCTACTATTTTCCACTTTATTTAGGTAGTCAAATTCTAAGCTGTTTATATATTTCAAGTTGCTAATCATATTCTGATAATACTCCCCCTCTAATGGTAGTCCTTATTTTTTATATTACCTTATACTAAATTCTCTACATAGGCTTGTGAAAAGACTTGAGATGGAATGATAGGTCTATAATATTACCCTGTTTGTATAGCCAAGTAGTTTCAATGGTGTTTGTATTCTAACTGATTTTAAATATCTGATAAGCTGGTGGAGGATAAGGTAGAGGGAAGCTGCAAAATTGCGTTCTGATTCTTTGCAATACAGCACATCATCCAGTGAGGCAGAAGGGCATTTTGCTAAACAGATAAGAGCAAAATGTAATTCTGTCAAACTTTACAAATAGTAGGATGTTTTCCAAACTAGTGAGGACACCAGGGCCTGAATTACTTTCATAGCAGTCTCTTGTATCACTGGCAACATGAATTGTAATACTGATATTAAAATGCATTACAGGCGACGAATTGACAGAGCTGACATTTAGCTAACACAGGTATCTTGCAGAAACAATGTAAATCAGAGTACCATAAACTGCTGTTGTTATGTGCAATGAGCAGAACTCATATGCACTGTTCAGAAAAACCACGAATGTGATGGACATTGCTTGAGGGCAGAAATGACATTGTGACTATATACTTTGAAATTACATTGGGGAAAATATGAGATTGGGCCTGTGTACTGTTCTGTTTGGTGTATACAGAGGGGAGAAACAGCAAAAGAAATATGGGACTGAAAGTAAAGGCTACGGAAAAGGGCAATTAAGTTTAGTATGCAACAAGGTTGTCAGAATATATTCAATAAGTGACCATGCTGTTCATATTTGAAAAATGAGCAATAAGATCCTTTTGATATTTCAAATCTGATACTCAATAGTTGTCTCTGAGGATAAAATGAAGAATAGGTTTAATCTGCGTAAGAGAATAAATGATGTACAACAACAGAAGGGTTGAAGAGCAGCAAGCACATTAGGGTGTACCTGCAAAGAGCCTCCAAAATTGCCTGCTAGTAGGCAACTGGTTGATGTTGGAAGATGTTTTTCACCTTTGCATCAACTCTCAGCAGTCATTGAGAGGAAGTCAGTATTAAAAAACATGGTAAAACATCTACATGTATTCTAAAAGGATGGAATTGGTTTGGTGCACGTAAATGGTATAATGGTATGATGCACATATTTTAGACAATTTGGGTCTAAGTGCTGGAAGGTTGGTGACTGACAGAAGAGAGAAGAGCCGAAAGGAAAAAAGATGCCATTTTTGTTTTGTTTTGTTGTTTTTTATTCTGTCAAGTGATTTTATTTATAAAAATAAGTGAATGTGGGGTTTCTTGTTTATCATACTATAGTGGTTTCCATATCTGTTCAGCCATTCCAGTTTCCAAGGGAAACTCTTGTGTTGATAGCTACTCTATCTGTTAACTGGGCCTGGAAGACAGGAATCCAAGGGGTTTTTCATGGTATGAAATAAATGTTCAGCAACCAAGATTCAACCCAAAGCAAAACTGCTGTGATCTCTTCTTGTCTTTGTGGCCTTCTGTGTGTGATTTACGTCTCTCTATTGCTTGTACTGACCTCACCCACTGACAGGGCAAGATCTTGTTAGCAAAAGTTTGTAAGGTTGAAATGTTCCCATTGGTTTCCCATCAGTCTTGCACATGCTTTTTAATGCTGTGAGCAGAAATGAATGAATGATTTCAAAGATGCATTTATAGTCCCAGAATATATGGCTTCAGGGAGGAATGCATTTTGTTCATGCTTAAGAGGAATTTCCTGTGTTTCAGCTTCTGGCATTTGTCTCTTATCCTGTCAGTAGGTGCAAGTGAGAAGAGTGTGCCTCAGTCTTATTTATTTTCCCCACACTGTCAGGTATTAATCCACATTGATGAGATCCCCCCAACCCTTCTCTCTTCTCCAGAAACCCAGCTCTCCTTAGACTCTCCTCACTTGTCAAATGTTCCAACCCCTTAATCACCTTAGGGAAATTAATCGTCTCCCTCGGCCTGCTGGCAGCAGTCTTCTTAATGCAATACTGTACTCAGTACAGATTGCCAAGAATACTGGTCTACAGTGCAGATTGCCAAGAATACTGGTCTATCAGCTCCACATTTCAGCATCTGTTCTCACTGCTGCATTTTTAGTGTCCTCCAAATTCACTATGTTCATTGTTGTAATGACCATGTCTAATAAAGTGACTTGGTCACAGTGTGTCTCACTGCTAACTTGAAGATTTTATTCAATGCTTGTGACTTCTTCTTTGGTTAAGTGTCATTGTATTTTGATCTTGGTATTGATTTATTAGCTTTTGTATAAGTTGCAAAGGAAAGAAGCATCTTTTTAATTTTTTTTTTCAATAATTATGTTGGTATGAAAGTGAAACAGGAGAATGATGAATTGGATCCATGTTTATTTAGATGTATAAAGAGTAATCTGCTTTCATGGTAGAAAACAACTATCTTTTGGGAAAATAATGTGATTAGAGGGGTCAGAAAACAAATTCTTCCCTCCTGGGCTCCATTTATGACACATTTTAAAACTGTGTGGTATGCTGATTTCTCTTGGAATAGGACTAGGTATATCAATAAAACCGAAATGCTGTTTTCTGGGGGGGCAACTGCTTGTTGCCGCAGAGTTCTTGATATTGCCCACTGCTGAACAATGTAAAAAAGAAGTGATTAAATGGAGCCCCATCAGTACAGCACCTGATGAAACTGAGCTGGTCTTGTGTGAATCTGTGTTTTATTGATTTGTTTCTAGTGGGATATCTCCCTAAGGCATTGCTAATTGGTTTGGAGGACAGTCTTGTTTGACTTCTTTGCTTCTGATTAAAATTTGCAATATGAGTATGTGTTACTGAATTGCCTCTTCTTAAGGCTAGAGCTGTTGTACATTGTGTATGTAT